TCCACATCAAGACAGGGAGGTTCCTGCTAACTCCTGCCCTGGGTGTGGGAGCCTCAGAGACTGGCGAGCACCTGGCAACCTGCTGGCTACCTCTTTGTCAAGTCTTAGTCACTGGATTCAGCATTGACAAACAGGTTCTAGTCCTAGTTCTTCCATTTACCAACTGGCAAACTTTAGGCACGTTCTTCTCAGGTCTTTGGTGTGTTCATCTACAGAATGTGGGTAACCACCCCTCTCAGGGCAAGTAAGATTCCCTGCTGCCCTCAGGGGCTGGGCCTCACTGACACACCATCACAGCCAGTAGTAAATGAAAAGACAGGACCACTAGTCATTCTAATCTTTAAGAAGGCAAAGAATATTCACTGAGTACCTAATCTGTGCCAGGCTCTTTTCAATTATTGGTTCATTTAAACTTCACAACACTGCAGACAGTATTATCATAACCATTTCACAGATGAGAATCACTGAGACATGAAGCAGCACATCCAAGGTCATACAGACAGACAAGACTCTGGAGCTCATGTGACGAGAGAGCACAGAGCACCTTCTTTCCCTCGCGTCAGTGTAAACAGACAGGGTGGCTGGACCAGAGCCAGGCCTCACTGCCCCTCTGGAGGTCCTATTTCAAACCCAGATGCTGAGAGGACAAAACATCAAGCAGGCCCTGCCGCCTTATCTCTTTCCCACAGCATAGGGTTTCCTAGCAGGCGGACACACAGGCACCTTCCCAGGACAGCAGCTGGTGTGCCAGTCCCTTCTTTACCAAGTCAGGTCTTGTCTAAGGCCTTAGAACACCCACATGGCTACCGGACTGGATTTTCCTTTGAGGTTGAGATGAGAGAAAGAGAAGAGAAAAATGGGAGGAGGGCCTGTGGTCTAGAGTCCCAGCACAAGGCCCCACATATACAGCTGCCTTCTTCCAGATGGGCCACCCAGGGATCCCTCCATTGCCAGATCCATGCTCTCCTGGGACCTGTAACAGCTTAAGAAGAGTGGATGCTCTGAGCTTACAAACTATAGAGAAACTGGTGGGAAGGCAAGGAGGCAGGCTCTGGCCTGCCAGGAGGGTCCTGGCCCCACCCCAGCAAAAACTGGCACAGACCTAACTACAGAGATGCCAATTAAAGCCAGTTCTATGACTTCCAAAGTTGTAGGACTGCCATAGTTAGCTAGAAGTGAAGGGCCCAGAGAACAGGGGAACTGAGGAAGGCAATACTGATGTTCCAGATGTTTCTCCCTGGGCCCAGATCAGATCCCTTGATCCTCTAACAGGAAGCCAACGCCCATGGAATCCCAGAGACCTTAGCTCCTCACCCCATCTGGCCTGCAGACTGAGCAGACAGAAGCTGGGTGGGAAGCTCTAGCTTCAGGAGACCAGTCCTGACAATCACGTGGAAACCGGAGAGAAAGGTGACAGATTCACCCTCCAGGCTACTTCCCTTGGGCCAGGAGATCCATTTACAACTTGTATCCTTCTTTCTTTCCTCACTATTTCCTCTAGGCTGCAGAAGGGACACCAAATGAGTCTGTTCTTCCTACCCCAAAGTAATAGGAAGAGTAACTTCACTCCTGCCCCTCCCTTTCTTTCTTCAATGCCCAGCTCAATCTCCAGTCAAACCAGAACTAATGCTGGCAGCACCCTGTCTGTGCCTGCACTACCCCATAGGTCGTTTGCTAGCTGTTGCTTTCTTACTTCTCTCTGACTAATCTCAAGGGCAGGCAGAGACCACCCGGGTCCCACCAAAGGTCCCCTGCAGTGTAGGCCCAAAAGACAGACAAGGGAAGAAGTAGTAAGGCCCAGAGCTGGGAATGAAGAATTTTGGATCCAATTCCCAATTACTCCTAATGAACTGAAGAGGAGAGACTTAAACACCTCTCTCAGACCTCAGTTAACCCATGTGTATGATGAAAGCCATCTCTAAGGTCACTTTCTGCTTTCTGGTTTGGAATGTCTATCAGTAAATCATTCGAAAAATAAATATTGAGCATTTACTCCACTGTAGGCCTGAGGAGGAAAAGGTGAGTAAGTCTGGACCCAGCCCTGAAGCTGATCAGTCTATTGAACTGGTAATGACAGCACACTCTTATTCTTCTGGGCCATCCCTCGTAGCTTCCTACACTGCAAAGAGAGTCAAAAGTGCTGAGCTAAGTCAGGGAAAGTGAGGACAGGCAGGCTTCTATCTGTTCTGTTGACTTCCTGCTGGGGCCACGGGTCATATTTATGGATGGTAAAGGCATAGAAACTGTCCCAGGTGGGTTCAAGTGCCACTAATAAGCTATGTGATCTGAAGCAAGTTATTCTCTCCTCTGGACTTCAGTTTCCTCCTCTGTATAGATAAGGGTCAATCTCTTAAGAACTCTTCCAGCTCAAACAGTCTATGACTTTATGATTTTTCCATGCCAGGTATCTGAAAGCCACCTGAGCCAGGTAGCTTCTAACCCATTTTCTTTCCCTTTCCCACCCCTGCTCCTAGTAACTACCTAAACTGATTGTCTTGAGACAACCTTTGGCCCCGAGTGACTGAAATGAACCTTTAATCTGGAGCCAGAGTCCCCACCATCTCCACGCATCAGTGCTAATGTTTCACTTCTCTGGGATGGCACATGGATTCCTAGCCCTCGACCACGAGACTGGGTTCAGGGCGGTCACCCTGAAACCTCCTATAACTTCCCCTCTTTTGGCCTGAACAGGGACTTACTTTTGGCTTTTTTGGAACCACACTGTAAACTACACAGAGAACATCCAAGCCTTCAGATATTAGCAAATTTAGGTTGACCTGACAGGCTCAAGAAAGTGAGGCATGGAGAGAGCAGAGGACCTGGGATCCCACCTCAGCTCCAGCCCTACAGACATCAGTATATAGAGGGAGTCTGCACAGCTACAACCCGGGTTTGTGGTTGGAGGGTGGGGAAGACAGATGTCTGGCTGCCTGGTCGAGGCCTACAGCCAAAGGGAGGTACTCCCACTGGGGCTTCTCTCTGCCCACAAATACCAGAGGTTTGCCCTCATTTTTCTCATTTCTCAAACCCTTAGAAGGAAAGGAAAAGAAATGAATATTTTCTGGGTCACTACTTGTGCCAGGCACTGTGCTTAGGGACTTTCACATACTTGATCTCATTTAAATCTACAATAATGTTGGAAGTAGGTGTTGTTGCCCTTTACAGTGAGTAAACAGACTCAGAGATTCAGGATCTTGCCCAAGGTCACACAGTCAGCAAGTCTAAGTCTGGCCTTTTCCCACTATAGCACACTGCTCTGTACCCTAAGATCTGGTTAACTTCCTGATAAGCCTGGAGCAGGAATTCTCATGCCCTAGAATTCACCAACAAATCTGAGCTGTTCCTTCCAAGACCCCACAAATGCAACTGGGAACTCCCTTCCCAGCTCTCAAGATCCCACCCCTCCCTGGGCATTGATCCCTAGTGACTTTTTCCAATTCAAAAACACACCCTACATCCCCTGTGGGCCCACAGTTCCCCTGGGGAACTGTGACAAGGCATCAAATCAGGATGAGGGATAAGAATGAGGGGTGCTCTTTGAGTTCTGGACAGGACTAAGCTTAGCCTGCTGGGAGCAAGTGGGGTGGGGCTGGAAGAGATAGATCCAGTGGGGAGGAGGGACCTTTCCTTAGGGGAGGGGTATAGATTTCTCCAAAGGAGGAGGTCTGGTGAGTAAGAGGCTTTGGGGCTGGGGAAAATCCAGGAAGTGACCTTCATGGGGCTGCTTATGTGGCGTAGGTTTCTTAGATAGTCAAGGCACTTCCATAAGCCATGAGAGCAGTTGGGGAAGTCGGGCAGTCATGACTGGTCAGAGAAGGCAGGCAGGATTCTCTTTCGAGTAGGATCATGGCTGGGCATCCACTGGTGATTGTAAGGGGCTGTCTCAGTTGAATGGGAGGCACATCAGGAGGGAAGCTTGCTGTTCTGTGCACAGCGGTCTCATGTGACATGAAAGGTTGGGAATGGGGTCTGGAGTCGATCTTTTCTAAGGGGACCACCAACCTGTACACATGATCTCCCTGAGGACTGGGCCTAGGGGAATTCTGTGGGGCAGAGCGTGGCTACCCAGCTTGGAGGGAGGGTGCTGCTCCACTACCTCAGAGTTCTCCGCCTGCCAGTTGGGTGTGCCTGGGTGTGCCCTTGCTGCCTCCTGGCCAATCCCACCCCCCAGACCTGTATTTGGGAGGAGATGCACGTCCTCATAGTGCACATGAAGTCTGCCTGGCAGGCTCCTGTGCTGTCCTGGAGGTGGGGCGCTGTCACGCTGTAGGTACTGGGAGGGGGGAGTGTCTGCCCACCTGTTGCCAGTGACAGTGGAGAAAGCTGTCTTTAAGGGAGGAGGGAACACTCTGACCCTTCCCGGAGAGAAAGGGACTGTCTGTTTCAGGAAGGGACTGTCAGGCAGCTGACCAATGTCAGTCCATCCTGAGGTCGGCGTCTTGAGGTCGGTGTCAGCCTGTCCTGGGAAGGGGTGGGGGCAGTGCCATCAGTCCTTCTGAAGTCTGCCTAAGGTCTCCAGGGGTGGGAGGTGGGGTGGTGATTCAGGGCGGCTGTGGGCCTGTGGGGGGGGGGAGTAGAGATGGCGAATATCTGCTTGAGGGGGTGGTGAAGCCATCTGTGATCCTCTGAGGGGGTGGCAAAGGCAATCAGCCCTAAGGCCAGGGTGGCAGCATGGGTTTGGGAGAGGTGCCTGTCGTTCGGCCCCCCAGTTTGGAGGAGTGCACGTTCGGTCCTTCCTGGGGGCGGGTCAGCCAGTCGGGGGAGGTCGTGGGGGAGGGAGACGTGGGCCTGCCTGTCCCCCAGGTTGGAAGTAGGATTGTGGGCGAGGGGCGGGTCTGCAGGGGAAGGAGGAAAGGGGGTGGGGCGGCAGAGAAGGGGTCTGCTGTCCCCGGTCGGGAGGGGACATGTCGGTTGAAGGCAGCTCTGGCTGCGTCCAGGGCCCCCCTCGCGGCTCCCGCGCGCGGGCCTGACCCCCAGCCCCGACCCCCAGCGCTACTCACGCGCCCTCAGCGCCCTGCGAGCCCACGATGAAGCCGAACTTGTCGATCCGGCGCTCGACGGAGCCGGTGGCCTCCGAG